AAAAAAAAAACAACCTAGAAGAAGCTGGAGGGTCGAGAGAATCAACTGCCATCCCACGTGCCTTGCTCCAAGGTAGTTTATTGGTTTTTTGGAATCAAATAACTTGGATATAAGTGAGCAGAAAAGGCATTGCAGGCAATCAGAACAAACAAGCCGGTGAGAAGGTGAGCATTTCTGCAGTTAATGGCTCATTACATTTCTTTACTCTTTAGCAGATTTGATAACATTTGTGCTGACTTGGCATTTAGATCTGACTACTGTTTACTGATGATCTGGCATTTGAAAAGAAGATTTTAAGAAAAGTATTTAACATAGTGCAGGAGTTACAGCAATGACTGATTATTAGACTTGAAAAAATCAGTTTCTTAAATTATCTAAATATTAACAGAACCCATCTGTAAAATAATTTTAAGCTTTCTGCTGATTGACTGTGCAACTCAATCTCTTTGTTTTTCTATTAACTGATTATTTTTGAAAAAGTGCTTTATGTAGTGTGCTTTTTATATATATTTGCTTAAAAGAAAAATCATGTATTTAATCAATTAGCTGAGGAAGGAGTCATTTAATTGCTAGCAGCATTGTGGTCCCATAAAAGATGCATACAATGCATGAGCTAAATAATAAAATTGGGGCTATCGGATCTGAAGTATAAACTTCCAGATGACCACTGAAAACTAGCAGACATTTGATCCCATATTTCTTTTTCACCATCTAGTACAGTCCAATTATTTTTACTCCAAATCTGGAAGTCCTAATAAAACATATCAAGAAAAAATATTATTACAGTTACTGTAAATGCAGGCCAATAGATTGTAGCACAAAAGAATGCCAACTTGATTATATTTATCTCCCATTAGATATCAACAGTATATTATTTATTTATCCTCTCCAAGATAGCAATTGCCTTCACATGGGAAAATACTTTAAGAAAACTTTTCTCTTGTTGTGTTGTCCTAGTTGTGCCTTCTTTGTAAATTCTGTGACCTCCTCCAATACTTCTGTTGGTAGAAGTGATTTCAGCTCTTGGAGTTTGCATTCCACTCTCTTTTTCAAAACTTCAATTGTAAAATTGATTTGTTTTATTCTTTCATTGAGAAACTGGAGCTGGGCTTTTTGCCCTGTGTCCTTTCACTGTTGAACATAGGTACAGGCTATTGGGGATGAGTCTGTGTTGTCTGCATCTCAAATTGAAATGCAAATGGTTCCTGTAATCTGCAAGCTTTCTTCAAGGAAAAAACAAACAAAGTCCAGTTGCCTTTTGAAAAGCACCTTTGGGACAACCATGACCTGGATCTCCATAGGCGTTGTATAGACTTCTTGACTATAAGCTATCAACTCACTAGTGAAGTGATGAATTCTTCTTTGCTGGAGATCTTCAAACTGAGACTAGGTATCAAAGATGCTCAGGTGATCCCACATAGAGCAGAGGGTTGGACTGGATGACCATCAAAGTCACTGCCAACTTAATTAATTATTGTCTCACCAACTCTGCAGGAGAGTCTGCAATGTGAAGTAATTGGGCAATAGAACATGAACAGGTTGTCTGCTAGGAAACTGCAAAATATATTCATAAAAGTTTCAGGTGATGGAGAAGAGAATTATGTGTGTAGCTCTGTACTTTGGTTTATAGAGCAACAGGCTGTCTTAAAGAAGCAATTCAAATAGCTCTGCACTGAAATGGGTTTTCAAAGATTGTACAAACATGACATGTTACTTCAATTATTTCCTGATCCACTGTTTGCCTAAACTGTAAACGTTCTTCAAGCAGCCCTAAGTTACAGTTATAACCATTTCCATTAACATTTATTTACAAGAAAACATGGACAGTTTTGTCCTGAAAGAAAGATTTATCTTATTCTACATGCCAGCATTCTTGCCACTAATTCACCCACGCCATATTTGCACTAATGCAAATCTAAGGGATACATTAGCTATCATTACTCCTCTAGAAAATTCTGGTTTCTTCCTGGACTCTGTGCCTTTAGCTGAGACAGCGTTACCTTGAAAACTTCAGATATAGCAAATCTTTTGGCGAGTAGGTAATTCATGCTGGTTAAATATATGGGGAATGAAAAAAATGGGAAATGTGGGGAAAGTATAATTTTTTTCCCCTGTTATGTTATTATGTTCCTGAGTTAGTCTTAACTCCTGGAGACTGCTTGGACTAGTCCCTGATGTTTTCTTGGCAAGATTTCAGAAGTGGTTTGCCCTTCCTAGGGTTGAGAGAGAGTGACTGGCCCAAGGTTACCCATCTGGCTTTGTGCCTGAAGCAGAACTCTCCATCCCCCAGTTTCTAGCTCTCTGCTTTTAACCCCTACACCAGACATGTCAAACACAAGGCCCGGGGCCAGATGCGGCCCGCAAAGTGGTTTCATGTGGCCCGCAAAGCCATCCTGGAAACAGTGAGGGAACGGCTCTTGCTGCCTTGACCCTGGCCCAGGCAGCCGGGAGCCAATGTACAATTTTGTGGTGGCCATCTATGCTGAAATGCATTCAGTCTTAGTTCCACAAGGCCATCTGGAAACAGCGAGGAACCAGCCCCTGCGGCGTCGGCCCCACCCCCTGGGTGCATGCTGGGGAGGTGTTACCCTTTGTGAGGAATGAAGAAATGCACCATTGCTTGGAAGTGGCCAGCAAATGCCCCTCACCTACTTCACATATCCGGCTTGATGGGCTCTGGGGGAGGGGTTTCGGCAGGCAGTGAGGTGCTCTTCTTACAGCACTGCTGAGCCGGGTGGTGCAAATCCAAAAAGAAATGTGAGGCTGCCCAGCTCCCACCCTGCCTGATTTCAGCAGGCAGTGGGGCGCTCCTCCAGTGGCAAGAGCTGAGCCAGGTGGCACAAATCTGATGAGAAGTGCAGTGCTGCATAGCCCCAGCCTGTCCAGTTTCAGCAGGCAGCAAGGTGCAAAGTTGGTGAGCTTCGCACCTCCCGGCTCAATCTCTTGGTGCTGTTAGGAGAGCACCCCACTGCCTGCCGAAACCAGGCAGGCTGGGGTCTGGGCAGCATCATGCTTCTTTTTGGATTTGCACAGCCTGGTTCAGCCTGTTGACACTGTGAGGAAAGTGCCCCGCTGCCTGCCAAAACCGGGCAGACTGGGGACTGGGCGGCATTGCACAGGTAATATTGACTCTCACACTGCTCATGGCATCCCCTCCTACAGAGCCCACCAAGCCAGATATGTGAAGTAGGTGAGGGCCATGTGCTGGCCATTTCCAGGCAATGGTTTATTTCTTCATTCCTCATGAAGGGTGACACCTCCCCAGCTGTGTTTCTTGCCTGTTTTTCTCCCTCCCTCATCTCAAATATTTTCCCACCACTCTGTACTTAGGAAGGAAAGAAGGAAAGAAGGAGTGGGAGGATCTGAGGGAAGTCCTGCCTTAGTCCTGCCCTGCTGCCCTTTCCCCTTGCCCCCTCCTCCTGGCTATCCTGGGGGTGTCCCATTCTATTGCTAAGAAAGCTTTGGTTACAAAGCTGGATCTCCTCCCATAGAGAGGGAATGGGCCTCCCTCTGATTTTGCCCTCGTACCCATCATGAGCAACCTGGCTAAGGAGAGCAAGCACAGCAGCAGCAACCTTGAGGAGGAGGTAAGTGCAGCTGGGTGCCCTCTTGGGGAAGTGGGTTGGGCTTGGTGCCACAGGTGCTCAAGGGCTAGGCTGGGCATTTGAACTCTGCTGTCTAGGGCTCCCAGCAGCCCGCACCACCATCCAGCCTCCCCCCCGCATGGCCTGAGAGGAACAGTGAGGCTCCTCCAGTGGACCATGGCTTGGCACTTGCCCTGGTCCCACCCCCTTCTGCCAGAGACCCTCAGATCTGTCCCATTCCTGCCCTGGCCCCCACAGGCACCCTTGACGTGAATGATGTAGAACTGGCCACGCCTACCCAGTAAGCCACACCCACTCCATCTATGCCCACCCAGTAGGCTGCACCCACCCTGGCCACACCCACCCGGCCCCCCAAGGGCAACCGCAATGCTGATACAGCCCTCAATGAAATTGAGTTTGACACCCCTGCCCTACACCAAACTGGCCCTCACGTAATAAAACAGATTAATGTCATATACTTTAAAAATATTACTTTACTTTTTTTAAACTGGGCAAAAATAATAGTTCTTGAGATTATACCACTCCAAAATTAGTAGCTGAGTAACCAACAGAATGCAGAAGTATAATTAGAAGTACTCAGTTTTTAAAAAAAGAGGAAAGAGGAGAAGGGAGGGGAAGGAGAAGGAAAGGAAAATCCAAAAATCTTGTCAACTTTGTAAGCCATGAAAGCTGCAGTTCAAAGCCAACCCCACAGTGGAAGTAGTTATAGATATTACATTTCATAGCTGCTCTTTCTCAAAAATCACTGATATTGGGGGGGGACCCTCTTCAGAGAATGGGTTTCTTAAGCTTCTTAAAAAAGAGGAAAGTATAATATCCCTGTCCACACTTTCCCCATTATAGGTAGTCATCTGGCTAATTTTATATCTACTTTGGCCCATAATTTTTCTAGAGTTTTGTTCTTGACACTTTGGCATTTCTCAAAAATCAGAAGAAGAGAAAAACCTATTTCAGTATAATAAATGAAAAAAATAAATGTTTCCTCAAATGTTAAACATTAGTAATAATAGGTTATTAGTGATTAGAAAAATATTCAAATAAAATGTTTTCTTTTATATAAATAGTTGCTATTTTCTTGCATAAATGCAGCTGAAAACAGTTTTAAACTTCAAAATAGGTTTGTATCTTCAAAATAATACGTTAACTGGGAGGTGTTTTGACTTTGCTGAGTGAGAGATTCCTTGCAGGATGTTAGTGATAATACTATACAATTGTTTGCTTGCACCTTGAACACGTTGTTCAGGAAGTACTTTGAATTGTAATTGAGGTTGGAAATATTTCTTAAATAAACTTTGAACTCAGAATGAAATGAATAATGGAAAATGCAGGACAATAACTTTGAAGACAGCTCTGAATAATATAATGTTTTACTATTGCTAAAATGTATTACTATGATTGTGAAAAATATTCCTTCATCTTCAACAAGAATTGCCATGGTGCTGGATTGCGGAAGCATACTAGAATGAGTACTGAGTCTGAAAATTGTAGCTCTTGAAGACTTCCGGAGGAAGAAATGGTGGATTGAAGGTAACTCCATGAAAAGCGGAGCCAATGATCATGGCGAAAAATGAAGAGTCAGTGAAATCGATTGCCTCCTTGAACCTCTCCAGAGAAAGAGAGGATGGGAGATCACCCATGGGTGCTTCAGACAATTGCTACTCCTAAGGAGGCTGCAAAACTGGTGGGTTTTCAGCACTGAGAGATGAGGGAATAGTCATCTTGCTTAAACTGCAGTAAGATACCAAGTTCATATAGTTCCTTTTCTAATCACTTTTGGAAATTGCTTATTAGCTACTTTTCAGCTATTAGAAACTTTGGATTTACAAATCAGAAAATACAAGGTGAGTCTGCCTTCAATTCTTAATGAAAGAAACATATGACTACAGTCTTAGGAGCTGAATTTAAAAAAATAAACAACAAAAGGTTGATTAAAATGTTGGTTTTAGAACACTACAAGTGGATTAAAGATCCAGATAAATTTGAAATAAAATGTTGGAATTAATTATAAAAATCCTTGCTATGGAAAAATGCTTTTGTTTTGATTCTTTTTTTTAAAAAACAAAGTTTTAAAAATTGTACACTAAAGTTTCAAGTAAAGAAGAAGAACACATACATGTGATGATTGGTTATGGAATGGCACAAAATATTCTAATGCTGCAACTATTGAAGAATACTTTGAAAACCAGAGTCAGAAATTAATAGATACTGTCAATAGCAATATTTCCCTCTATGGCTAGATTTTATATAAAAGGCATTATGGAAGAAGGACATATGTTACTAACAAGACAAAGACTGAGTTGAAAGTGGACTTATTTTACAGATTATAAGTTACAAAGTTGACATGAAAAAAAGATGTTACACTGGACTTACTGTATAAAAGAAATTGGCTGGTATTTTAATAATTAAAAGTTCATACAAACAATAAACCAAGAGAAGGACTTGGACAATCTTTCTTACAAAAGAGACTTTAAAAATTTTGAAGAATCTTGGGAGAAGGGACAAAGAAATGAAATTTAGTTCTAGATCATTATTTGAATGGACTAAAGATTAAGATTGATAGAAGTAAAATGAAGGAATATAAAATTGATATTTCTGGTAATCCTTAATGGTCTTTTACTGATACTTGGGAGTCTCTTTATATATTACTTTTATTTTACTTCACTATGTTTTTACTTTTATCTCTTTTTCTTTTTTCTAGTCTTTATTTCTTTTCTGATTTTTCTCTTTTCTCTTCTCTTCTTTCTTTCTACTTTCACATCTTTTGGTTTGTATTATCTTGTATTATTCTAATTATAATATTTAATAAAATTATTTTTAATAAAAGAAAATTATAGCTCTCTAGTTATTGTCTCACACAACAGCAAAGAATATGGTTGATAGTAACATTGTAGAGATGATTGTCAAATACCTATGAAACTCTCAAAAGATGTTAGTTTCCAGAAAGGAAGAAAGGAACAAATCCATAGCCTATAGATCAGTGGTGACGAACTTATGGCACGGGTGCCAGAGGCAGCACTCAGAGCCCTCTCTGTGGGCATGCATGCCATCGCCCCAGTCCTAGGCCTTCAGCTAGGTTTTATAAAACCTTTTCACTTTAGGCTTCCGCCGTGTGCAAAAAAAAAAAAAGGTTGAATCAATCAGTCAATTTCAACTTCTCACAGGGAAAAAAAAGATCTTGCAAAGTTGGAATTGATTGATTGAACTTTTTAGTCCCATCCAGTCTGCCGTTACCACTGCAGCCATGCCCACCCAATGGGCCACACCCACCTAATTGGCCACACCCACCCGGCCCCCGATGATGCATAAGTGGGTTTTGGGTTGCAGTTTGGGCACTCGGTCTCTAAAAGGTTCGCCATCACTGCTATAGATAATCGCCAAACAAATTTTAAACTGTGTTCATTTGTTCCAAAGATCTTGCTGTTAAAATTTCACAGCAAAGGAAATTAGAATCTGATTTTCCATCATGTTATTTTAACTTTAAGAATATATGTAATGCCATGTAATGCCCCTTTCCAAATAGGAAAAATTTGAGATGAATATTCTGCCTTTTCCTGCACTGATGCCATCATATAACTGACATGCCTTTCTTTAATCTTTGACTGCCAAAAATAAAATAGAAAATCAGCTATAAAATGCTATCTGTTGCAAAATGTAGTAATACCTTCTATAATACATAAAACATATATATTTAAACATGGAAGATTCTTTCCACTAGGTATGCTCTGTTTTACTGGAATTCAAGCTTTTGTTGAAATGCTTGTTTTTCTATATTCCCTTTTTAGCTTATGATGGCTTCTGTTTATACTTCAAATAAAACAATCAGAGTTTGTCCTTTCCTCAATGGAGATGTTCAAAACCCAGAAGCCAGAACTAATAACACATGGATTAGTCCCAATCTGCCTAGCAGATGCACTTGGAAACCAGGAAAATCCATCTCAGAGTCACCTCATAGCTATATGCCTCAGTAAGTAGCAACTTAGAGTAATCCCTGCTTTAAAACTGTATCTCAAACAGGAAACAACGATTCCTTTGGCTCATCAGCAATATGATCTATTAAGAATTTGCTTCTGATAGAAGAGAGTGCAATACCCTAAATTTCCCTATCTTCTAACACAAATTCTGAAATGAGGACCATAGACAGCTATGACCTGTTCCAGTTTTCAGCATTAGCTTCAGCATATTCCAGGAAATTTCTGCAACTTTTTGTTATTTTCATATGTTGAATAGAGTGATCAACCCTTGTTAAATTAATGGCATTGGATTTTGAACTTTTTTGGCAACAGCTTAGAAACAATCAAAACGAAACTTTAAATGCATGTTTAATTTAAAGTACTAATTGAGGAGTATTTAACTGCATATTTGAAAGAGCATGCACCGATGTTGAAATGGAATGAATGATGAGTACAAGCCTTTGATAGAGGCATATGTCAGAAATAGGTTACCAATTCTGTTCCAAAACAGATCTGTCAGTAAAGGTTCAGATTAGTGAATACCTTTATGTTCTGCTCACTCTGACTTGTGCAGTGCTGGAAATGATCTTGCATTTACAAATCCTCTGCATAAGATTCCTGCAGAACTGGGTGATGGAATCAAATGCCCCTTGCATAGAGGAGAGCAGGGGTCATATCCATTTAAATGTGAAGCTAGTTGGACCTCAGCCCCTCACATGAACTTTCGGTGCTTAAAGTGGTTCACAACTTACTAGTGTAGTTAAGAAAATAATATTTTAATGGAAGATAACCTTTATGGGTCTTCTGTATTGCTAATATTAACAACACCTGCCATATTAGCATTGATCTGAATCATGACAGGCTATAATCTGAGCCCAGGGTTGCTATGTAATCGAAGAATGGAGAATGCCTCGTACACAAAGCTTTGTACAAAGTTTTCCCCCTTTCCCAAGTCTTTATAGAGCCTGCAAGCTGGAAGAAAACATGCTGGCCATTTTTATTAGTATAATAACTAATCAGAGGGAAGTTTTTCTACTCTTTAAAAAAAAGTGAATTTTTGATCAGCAGATTCATGGGTTCTGTAGGGAGGGGGATCAAAAAAAGTCAGGATAGCGCCCACAACCATATGATCAAACCCACTCTTCCTTAAATCTGTCAAGAACCACATAAAAATATTTCAGTCACATAGTAGTGGCCACCTTAACTTTTCTTCCCGTCAAATAGACACACTGCTGTTTTGTTTTCTTTTTTTAAAAAAATCTGCCTTCAGAAATGCCCTATTTGGGAATACTAGGTGGTCTTTCCAAGGGATGCCCTTCTGAAGAATTAAACTTTATTATGTTATTGGGGGACACATGGAATATAATATAAAAACAGTCTGATGAACTAGTACACAAAAGATTTTGATTTTTCTCACTATCATTCCTCGTGTTCACTGTTAAAAATAAATCAAAGCCAGGCTTTCCTTTTGTACATCGATCATTATTGGAGTCATAATGCATTTCAGGATTATTTTGGTTTTATTCTTTTTCCTTGTGCAGGCAAAAAGAACCAAAGATTTTGTCAAATGTCTTAGAGAAAATTGGACGCACTCCTCTGATCCGTGTCAACAAGATTTCAAAAGCTTATGGTCTCAAGTGTGAACTTTGTGAGTATTTCTTTGCCAAAGTCATCTGAAATGGTGTTGAATTTAGGATAGGACTCAAAAGGAAAAGTTTTCATTCCAGTGTATAGATTGGGCTGTACAATGGATTTTACAGCTGACACCCACCAGAGTGATATATTGCTAATGCATCATTGGTTGTGGGCTAGTAATTCTATTGCCCAATTTCTAAGAAGCATTCATTTTGTCTGATAACTCGTTGATTAGAAACATCCCCTTCCTGTAATTTACCTAGTAAATCTATATCATTTTGAACTAAACTATACATTATGTAGGTCAGCCCCAATTCAATTACCTGATAAACTGATTTTTACTCAGAGGGGCGCTAAAAGGGACAAGAATTTAATACTTTCCTTCTATTATTTCTCTCCTACTTCAATGCTATTTGTCTTATAGGGAAAACAAAATCATATTTTTCACAGAAAGAAATCAACATCCAAGTTTATCAGACAACCACACATGCACATTAAAGTTACAATAAAGCCTGCAAATGGTCTGACAGTGAAAAATGGAAGGCTTTATTTGCATTGGACATTTCTTTTTAATACTGAGGGTGATCGGAAACAGCATCTCTTTCAATATTGGTTAATAATATTGGTATATTATTATTAAGGAATAACAACAAAAATATCAAAGGTTGCCCTCTGTGTATGTATTTTTGTTTCTGGCCAAAAGACCCAAATAATAATAATAAGGTGCAGATATAATCTAAAATTTGGCATTAGATAAAACAGTTTAACAGATAAAATAAATAGATAAATATAACATTTAAAATTAAAAGATATTGATGTGTTAGTCACAAACCTGTTTTTTTATTGCTTTGGTTAAAAATTTGACTGTTGCCACTGTAATTTTGGAATTTTCTCTGCAAGTAGAATTTTAACATATTGAGAAACATCTCTTCCTGGTCTGATTGCCCCCTCTAGTGAAGCCCTGTCTGAAGATAGATCGCTCAGATAACTGAATACACTTCTGTCTTTCAAGCACAGCGTCTCCCAGAGGAGAGATATATGAAGAGTAGCCAAAGGAGATGGCTAATTCTTTTTCCCTAAAAACCATTGGTCTTTTTAAAATTCAAGCAAGATCTTAAGGAGAAGGCAAATAAGAAAGAAGAGTGGGAACAGCTATTCATTTATAGTCCCAAATCAAAGCTTGACTTTCAGGAAAAAACACAAGCATTGCATAAATATTATTCTTTATTTTCTGAGTGTTATTTAAGGCTCATTTGTGGGCTCTGATATTTATTTTCTCTGTGGGAGATTGGTTATCTTGTGTTTGGTAGCCTGCAACAGAGTCGCCTCAATTATTAGCAAAGCCATCCATCTTGGGATCTGCTAATCAGGTAGATTAGATCTGTAGAGTTTTTGGTGTTCTCTGAGTTTGCTTGTTTGCTTGCAGACATTATATGATTAGGTAGTATCATCAGTGCTGGTGAGCAATGTGTTTACTCCCTTTTACATACAGTTGCCCAGGGGGTGTGGGGTTTTTTCCTTGGCAGCTTGCTGATTAAGGTACTTGTGAGGTGGAGGTTCATCCTCTGAGCTTGTGGGTTGGGTATTATTTTCTGTTTGATTGTTTGTCTGATATTAATCCATGCTTATCTGATTTTGGCTGCTGGAAAGGATGTTTTCTGATCCTCCTCAGCTTTTTTTATTCTCTCTTTTTTTTCCTCCTTGGCATTTTTTATTCTCTCTTTTGAAGGGTGTGTAATTGTGATTTATCTCTATGTATCTATTGATGGCTGATTTGTCTGAATGCCAAGATTCCAGGAATTCCCTAGCTTTTTTGTATTTAACTTGGTCTGGGATGTTCATACTTTCCCAGTTCAAATTATGTTGAGTCTGTCCATGTGTTGTGAAATTAGTATTGCAGGATAAAGAAAACTACTTCCCAGTAAACACCAGCCCAATACAAAAACTGCATAACCTGATGAACCCACCCACTTAAGCCAAGACCAATGTGCTAAATGTCTAATATACAAAATGCTGGAATATAATTTCAGTAGTAAGTTTGGTTAAAAGTGATTCCTGTTTCTATCTTTAAAATCATTTCACCAATATTATAATTGTTTTTGGGGAATTTTGGCAAGGATAACAGAGATTTTTGTTTCCAAATTCAAATTTGTTCTTGTTTTGAAATTCCAGTGGCCAAGTGTGAATACTTCAATGCTGGAGGGAGTGTAAAAGATCGAATCACTTTAAGGATGATAGAGGATGCAGAAAAAGCTGGTATCATAAAACCAGGAGATACACTCATTGAACCTACATCAGGAAATACAGGTATAAAATATGAGTAAGGTAGAGTAGGTTTTTTTTAAACTAGCCTCAGTGTCAAAAAAAAAAAAAAAGGTTGCTATCCATTTCACAGCTTGGCATTTTTCAGATATTTAGGATTCATAATATTGCTTGGCAGTTTTGAGAGTTACAGTGCTTAACATATCTAAAGAGCCCAAGGCTGAAAGAGCTGATTTAGATCAAATGCAGCAGCATACATATGTACATATATACTTATTGCACAGTTCCCTTTTAGGGGAAGTTGGCATGATGGAAAGTGCAGAAAAAAGTAACACTCTTCACTATAAATTTCCATAAATTTCTATCCTTGCAAACCATCTAAACCAGTGGTTCTCAACCTTTCTAATGCCGCGACCCCATAATACAGTTCCCCATGTTGTGGTGATCCCCAACCACTTATACATCACCGGGTGCCAGGGGCGTGGCCAAAGAAAAGGGGGGAAAATGGCAGACAGCCTTGTTTGGCGACCCCCGTGAAATGGTCGTTCGACCCCAAATGGGGTCCCGACCCACAGGTTGAGAACCACTGATCTAAACACCAATTCATGCACTTCATTTTTTTCTTTGAACATTTTGAAAATCTCATCAGCTTCATTCAGTCATGACTTGCCCTGTCTTTCTTTTATTCTTGATTTGACTACTCTTCCTTCATATATTTTATTTTATAATTTGATCTTCATTTTTTTCCCTATAAACTGCTACTTCAATACGGTTTTCTTGTACTGGTTACTTTCTCTTGTATCTGGTCCACATTTTTCATCACTCATTCCTTCTTAATCTTCAGTATTTCTTCCTGCTTTGTCATACATTTTTAAGTCACCTCATTCTCACCATGCACAACTTTTATGCTTCTAACATACATAACAAAATGAGGATAAAAACTTGCTTTTATATGCAACCATTTTTTTTTGCATTTTTTATAAATATTTCTTGCAACAGGACCACAAAATTCATTACCTTTGTCCCAGCATTTCAATGTCTTAACCTTTCTCCAATTATTTTTAAAAACTTTAGTAAACAATCTTCCAAGGCATTCAACTTCATTCACCTACTTCATTTTTGATATTTGCATAATTTGCAGCCATTGTCCTCATTTTCCCCTATAAAAAAATAACTACCTTGATCTTCAATACATTAATCAAATACATCTTCTTTTCACATTATATAATCTAACATTTATTACAAATCCTTCAGATTCCCAGTTGACAACAAATCATTGTCTACATATAAGATACTAAGAACCCCATTTTCAAGGGCTATAGGACATCATTAGTGTGGGAATCATATCTATTTCTGATGGTCTATTATTCCTGAAGGCAGGTGCCAGGATAGAAGGCATACTTTCTGGATCCTGATTAGTGGCATTGTTTAATTGACAAGACCTGCAACTTGCCATCTCTGACAGATCTTACTAGATGAGCAGAAACCATGAGAAATAGATGCTTCCTCAAATAACCTGGCCGTATCACATAAAGGGCTATATAGATGATAAGCAACACCTTGGTTTGTACCCAGAAGGTCACACCGTTGTTTGTGGAGCAGTGATATTATATGGATACATGAAGGCATGCCTAGTACTGTCCAATGCTGCCGTATTCTGGAACAGCTGTAGCTTCTACGCTGTCTTCTAGGGCATCTCCATGTAGAAAACATTGCAATAATCCAATCATGAGATGACTAGGGCATGAGTCACAACTTGAAAGACCTTCCAGTCTAGGAACTGATGCAACTGAGACACCAGATGAAGCTGTGAAAAGACACTTTAATCACAGCTGCCACCTATTCTTTGGGAAGGAGCTGTGAGTCTAAGATATGGGTCTTCAAATGTGGCCCTTTTATGACTTGTGGACTTCAACTCCCAGAATTCCTCAGCCAGCATGCCTGACGTCCACAAGTCATAAAAGGGCCAGGTTTGAAGACCCCTGGTTTAAGAAGACTTCCAATACCAGTGCTTAATGTCATAAAGGCAACCAAAGATCAGTTTTACTCAATGCATTATCATACTATTTTATCCAAGCTAGACTCTTTAAATTAATTATTGTCTTACATGTCAACATACTTTTGACTTCCTACCAACTAGGAAGTACTTACAGCATACTCAGCCTACAAATATAGCAGCTATTTTTATAGATGCTTTGAAGAACATGATGAAGAAACTACAAATTGCAGGAAAGTTATTTCTCATAGTAATTTTGTAGGTTTGTTTCATCTCTTGCATGAACAGCTACTGTTAAATTTTTAAATATTGCTTCCTTATCACCTATTCCCTGCAGTATTGAAATACTGCTACATGGAGTCATAAAATGAGCTTAAAATTTGCACATTTTTAACCTAAAACACAAATCAGTACTGTGTGTTTTCAATCCTGCAGGAAACCGAACCAATCTACCTTATCCTCTTTATTTTAGCATATATGGGGGGGGGGGAGCTGAAGAAAAGATACCACATCCTTTTAGAAAACTCAGTGAGACAGATCTTTCCATCATTTTAAGCTAGGACTTAGAAAGATTATTATGGCAGCTATTGCAAGCTGTTCCAGTCTCCTTGGTTTCAGAATCCTGTATATTTATCAGTAGATAAATTGATTTATGCATTATATCTCATAAGCAACCTCAGCCTTCCATCCTTCCAAGGTTGGTAAAATGAGGACTCAGATTGTTATGGGCAATGTGCTGATATTTGTAAACCACTCAGTATATAAGTCTAAGTGATATTGCTCTTCCTAAATATTTACATGTGTATGTAAGAGTACCAATCTAATCATATAAATGCTACCCTTGGCAGAAATGAATTTGCTTATGTATAATATGATGTTACTCATTTTTAATCTAAAAATATTAAAAGATCTGGAGATTTTTAAGAAGAGATCTGGAGGCTTTTAAGATGAGATTGGACAACCATCTGAAAAGGTATAGGGTTTCCTGCTTGAGCTAGGGGTTGGTCCAAGGTCCCTTCCAACTCTGTCATTCTGTTATTCCATTATCTTCAACTGAACATGCAGGAGCATTCATCCTCCCCCATTTTTGAAAGTGAAAATTTGAGAGCTGTTCCATTTAGGAGAGAGAATTTGGGGGTTTAATTAACTTGTAGCTATAATTTCTACTTGCCTTATTTCTTATTCTTTTCACTGCCAGGAATTGGATTGGCTCTCGTAGCTGCAATGAAGGGTTATCGCTGTGTCATTGTCATGCCAGAGAAAATGAGTATGGAAAAGGTGAGAGCCCCTCTAAGTGGCTCAGCAGAAACATAACCATAGTCTAATCGTTTTTCTTTTCTTCACTCTCCTCCCATTAGCACAAAGCCTGTCTCCTGGGCAACTGAATTCATGAAGTGGAGATAATCTGTTAACCTCATAGAACTAGAATTTTCATCATTCTTCTTGTGGGAAGCTACAGCCATTACATAAGAGCAACTTATTTTCTTTATTCCCATGGGGGGTGAGGAGAGGTGAAAAGGTTTGAGGGCTCCAGGATGTGTTGTAACTCAAACAAGTTAGTCCATCTCTGGTTGATGAACTCTGCCCTGGAAATAAGCATTGATTGGCTTATGGTGTTGCCTGCATATTTTTAGAATTCCAGAGGCAGCAGAAGTTAAGGTCACAGGTTACTTTGTCAGAGATTGGGGAATGGAAATAATGTGGTTTGGAAATACCTATTAGTTGGGAATCATTTGAATAGCTGATAAGAATCCATCAATGAATGACTAGAGGTAAGTAATAGCTTGCTAGGAATTATGGGGTTTGTCTTAAAACATATAAAGGGTACCTGATTTGAAACAGTGACAATAAACTATAGGGCCTTAATTTTAGTAATGTACTTTTGTGAAAGAAGCATTGTCCACTTAGTTGTGCATATGCATGGCATATACAGGTAGTCCTCAACTAACAATCACAACTGAGCCCCAAAATTATGTTGCTAAATGAAACATTTGTGAAGTGAATTTTGCCACATTCTACGACCTTTCTTGCCACAGTTGTTATGGGAATCATTGCAGTTGTTAAATTAATAACATTGTTGTTAAGTGAATCTTTGCTTGTCAGAAGATCACAAAAGCTGATCACATGACCCCAGGACACTGCAACTGTCATAAATATGAACCAGTCATCAAGCATCCAAATTTTGATCATGCAACCAAGGGGATGCTGCAAATTTTATATGTGTGAAAAATGGTCATAAGTCACTTTTTTCAGTGCTGTTGTAACTTTGAACGGTCACTAAATAAACTTGTAAGTTGAGGGCTACCTCTATATCAGAACTGGGCAACGTTTTGTGCTCCTCAGAGCTCTCAATTTTGTACCATCAGCAGTGTAATATGCATGTTAGTTTTTTCTTTATTTCAGTCACAGAATCAATACTATGTACACATTCCTTTGTGTGGACTGATCTGCAACTGTTTTCCTGTACACTCTTCCCTGGGAAATATCCCACCAAGTGTAGTGAGTCTTAGCTCAGATGAAATAGGCAATAAACTGGCATAAATTTGTATTTTCTGGCTTTTAATGGCCACAGCTAATGCAGTATTGCAGTACTATTATTAAGTATTATTATTAAGCGATACTGTGTGTTCCACTTCTTTTTAATTTACTTTTTTTTCCTGAGCCACCCAGAATCAGTTGGATTTGGATTGTATCAAAATTGAATAAATAAATATTTTGTGAGATATGCTACTTGGTTTGTTTATATAAAGCATTTATATATTTATCTCAATTTAGATGAAATAATACAGGACAGAAAATGAATGCAATTTCTGGTTTCTACATCATTGTTCTAGGTTGATGTTCTGAGAGCACTTGGGGCTGAAATAGTAAGAACTCCCTGTGCCAAGTTTGATGATCCAGAATCCAATGTTCGTGTTGCTTGGAAACTGAAAAATGAAATTCCAAACTCACATATTTTAGATCAGGTATAGATTCCTACTTCTGGTTTAGAATGGATCGATGTATTCTGAATTATTTTCCATCCAGTTGCTTTACTCAACCTGGGATACAAAACTATCTGTATAGTATTAATTTGGAGAAAGCTAACCTTCTCCAGAGATCTTATGAAAGGAGGCAAGAAGGGGCATAAAAGATTCTGAGCCTAAAATTAGGGCAGAACTACAAACTTTCTAACCTTCAGCACCAAACAAACCTGTCGTGGCCCCTACCCTAATTACATGAACATGGATTTCTAATTACCTTTCTCATCTGGAAGGCAAAAATAAAGGCAGGATATACCAAGGAAAGTGACAGTCTTCCAGTCTCCTCTTCGGTATCTGAGTGGTTTAAAGCAGTGGTTCTTAACCTGGGCGATATTGCCCTCTAGGGGGCGATTTCATTTTTCAGGGGGGCAATGGAACGAAAAGGGGCGACATGGGGGTGAAGGAACGAAAAGAGGGCATTATGGGGGCGATGGAGCGAGAAGTTTTGGGGACACTTTTGAGATTTTTTCGTACAGTGAATAGCTGTATATCTGTCATACAAAAACATCAGATGATCGCTATTAGTGGATTGAATTGTGTTTTCAAATGTTCCTCCAGCTAGCTTCAGTACAGAATGTCATATATATGTGAATACATATTGCTTATCTTCATGCGCATTGCGCAGCAGCCTCTACCCATACAGTGGCGCGCCATTGGCCAGAATATGGGAGATATGGGAAAAAGACTGGAAATAAATTATTTGCATCGGTATGTCCTGATGACAATTTTAAAGAAAACAAAAAAAGGGTTTGCATAAATTGAAAAATTATTTCCTATGTTGTGATTGAGAGGTTATGTTGGGGGAGGAGGGCGATGACAACTTCCTCATTGGCTCAAGGGGGCGATTTGTTCAAAAAGGTTAAGAACCACTGGTTTAAAGCACAGGACTCCAACCTTGGCAACTTTAAGATTTGTGGACTTCAGTTCCCAGCATTCCTCAGCCAGCCAATTCTGGGAGTTGAAGTCCACAAGTCTTAAATCCGCCAAGGTTGGAGACCCCTGCTTTCAAGAACTGTCTACTGCATGGCCAACTTACTTACCCTGTACCATGTGCAGCCAACACAGAAAGGCATATCTATTAATTGAAGGGAGCGATGGTTGTATTTTTCATGCCGTGTGAGCAAACCATTCAGATATTCTCCATCAGATTACTAGGAAGCAAGGCGTATCATCATATTCACCCCAAAGCTTATAAAATTAACTAACTGTATATACTGATTAAACACACATCTCTATATTATGGTTGTTTAACATAAAACGAAGAAGAGTTTGGGGAGGCAAAAGAAAAACAAAAAGAGAAAACAATTATTTAAACTGAAACTTTTCTATGATAATGAAAAGAAAGCAACAGTTGATTATCTGCTGGTAGGTGACCATTGCAGAAAAAGAGGAACCAGGTGGCATGCTGGTTTCTTGGCTGAGTTGACAGCATGGACAATGCTGCTTTTTGGTCTGCAACCAGAGTTCTTTTAGGTATTTTATTACGTTTATGTAGCAGCAACAAATATTAAAATATACTATTATTACCCTAGTCAAAACCTCTTGAGTCTCACTGTGTTGATCCAGCTGAACCATTTTCCACACCATTTTCAAATGCAACATTGCATGTAACACATTATAGTCTTTTGTATCATATTTCACTAGAGCCTGGATAACCATTCAATATATCTTCAATAGCAGGTAAAACATAACTTTAAAAATAAAGTTTTATTTATTTATAAAGAAAGTATACTTGTGTAATCAGTGCTTTTTTGTAAAAAAAAAAAAAAAGTGCCGGAACTCACACGTTATACAACACACCTTGCCTACCCTACAAGGTGCCATCCCAAAAAGGTGCCGGAACTCCATTCTGGGCGTTCTATGACAAAAAAAAGCCCTGTGTGTAATAGCAATACTTCTCTATTATGATAGTTTTAGAGATATATGGCTTGATACCCCATATACACTATCATTCCACTAATTTGAGCATTGGATGTTTTTCTTTTGTCTCTCTTTCTTTCCCATAATAGTATCGAAATGCAAGTAATCCATTGGCACACTATGATACCACAGCTGAAGAGATCTTGGAGCAGTGTGATGGTATGATTAATAACCCTTTGATTAATAACCCTTTAATGTGGACATTTCCTCTTCTTTTGAATAAAACGAAAACATAGTCTACCCAATTTATTAGAAATGTTGATTGTGAGTTGCCATTTCTCACTGCTGATTTTCTTCTACCACATCAGGATTTCACTTGGGTGTGAATGTGCCAACCATTAGATACAATCTACAGTTTTACGATTATTACAATAAAATATATGAGGGATGTGTATCTGTACTTCCAAGTCCTCTGACTCTGCTTGTTTATTTGAAGCCCACACTTTCCAAATAGCAATTAAGTAATCATTTCTAGAGTAAATAAACACTAAAATATTAGCCATCCTCTATTACTTGGTAACAGGCAATGTAAAAAGCTTTTCTCAAAATGTATTAAGAATTACTGTACTGTCACTATGAGAAACACAGCAGTCACATATTCTGGCTGCTGTGAAGATTTAGCTGAAAGGCCACTAAATTTAAAGACTCCTTCAGGGTTGAGCTTGATCTTGACATGATTGCACAGACATTCCCATATACAGTGGTACCTCGATACCCATCAAGCGTAATGAGTACCAAAAATGATGAGTACCGAACAATTTTTTCCCATAAAGCTTATGCTTATGCATTGACTACCAAACAAACAATGACTGCCAGGACAAAATGTTTGCATCAAATTATATTGAGTACCAAATTCTATGAGTTTCAAAGCAGTTGAGTACCAAGGCACCACTGTATTATATTAACTTTGGCAATAATACAAAAGTGACCTTCCGTTGTATTCTTCTGTGATGTTACAACAATTTGTTGCTCTTATTTGTTTCTCAGCCTGGCTTTTAATCCAGGATTCCAGTGGCCTCTCATCTTAGTATTAACAGGATTTATTTATATTCTTTTACAAATTTATATAGCTGTCCATCTCACAAAAAAAAACTACTCCAGGTGGCAGAGATATTGTCATACCTTCCAAGATGAGCCAAAGTCAGCCTTGTGCTGCTACCTGCTGGATATGAAAGATAGATGCATGTCATTAAAAATAGATGTTAAGTGCAATCCCAGAAAACTGGAGTAAATCACTTATAACTAATAGTGATTAAATGATTGAACTTATATATATTAGTATGAATGTCACTCTTTCAATATAGTTGCACGCTTTTTGTTTGATTGTTTTATTTTTTCTTAAATACAGGAAAAATTGATATGTTTGTGGCTGGAGCTGGCACAGGTGGTACTATCACTGGTGTTGCCAGAAAGTTGAAGGAGAAATGTCCTGCATGCAAAGTACGTGGGTCTGGCTTTGCTATTTCAATCAGGATCAGTTATGTGGTTCCTTGAGAATCAGTCCCCAACTGGGCCTTGGGAGCTGCTTCCATTTTGAAGTTCTTGTGGTGCATTTTCTGGGATATTGCTGGGAATGATAATAGTGGTTAGCTTCCCAATAGTCATGTGCCAGGTGGGCCATCACTAACATAGGTGGGCTATGTCAAAGGTCTAGTTTAATGAAGAGAAGGATGATGGGTGACATGATAACAGTGTTCCAATATCTCAGGGGTTGCCACGAAGAAGAGGGAGTCAAGTTATTCTCTAAAGCACCTGAAGGCAAGACAAGAAGCAACGGATGGAAACTAATCAAGGAGAGAAGCAGCCTAGAAATAAGGAGAAATTTCCTGACAGAACAATTAATCAGTGGAACAATCTGCCTCCAGAAGTTGTGAATGCTTCAACACTGGAAGTTTTAAAGAAAAGACTAGACAACCATTTGTCTGAAATTGTATAGGGTTCCCTATCTAAGCAGGGGGTTGGACTAGAAGACCTCCAAGGTCCCTTCCAACTCTGTTATTCTATTCTGTTCTGTTCTAGTGTGATCTTCTGAAAAGCAAATCAATGGGGAAGCAAGAGTCACTTAACAAGCATGTTACAAAGTTAACAACTGCATTGATCCATTTAACTGTAGCAAGAAAAGTCATAAAATGGGGCAAACTATCTTGTTTAGCAACAGAAATTTTTCAGCTTAGTTGTGGTCATAGGTTGAGGACTATTTGTATAGGTTCCATATGATTCCAGGGATTTACCTCCAATGAAAGTTATCCCTGTAGAAACTCCCCTAACTTCCTAGCACTTCTACATTATTATAAAAAACAATCGACTGAAGAAATTAAAGGTATTAAACAGTTTGTCTTCCTTCACAGATTGTTGGAGTAGATCCCGATGGTTCCATTGTTGCTTTGCCCAGCTCATTAAATGTAGTCTCAGCCAAGGATACAACAATGGAAGTGGAAGGGATTGGTCATGACTTTATCCCAACTGTCCTTGATAGATCCGTAAGTCCCAAGGTGACAAATGTCACCAGACATAGGAATGAAATGTGTGATGCTAAGAATAAGCAGCTTCAGGATCCAAATAAGATTCATTTAAAATCATTTGCTAATGTTGATATATTTATACATCTACACAGGACCAATCTACAGATCTATATTATATATGAATGTACTGTATATCCTCAAACATGTTTACACTCACACTCACTCCCTTTGTCAAGCAAGAACATCAGGTGAAAGCTGACAGACTCATCAAAAGTTTTCATGCGAAACACCCCAACAAACCGAAAAATAATCCTTAACAATCCTAAGCATGCTTTTGTTTACATTACAGGATCTGTCCTTTTTGTAAGAGGGGCCGGATGTCAATGCTGCTAACATTGGATGTTCTTGCTTGGCAATATATGAAGATGCAGACATTTTCTATTTAACCTGTGTATTACTTTTAGAGTTAAAATTAGATGGTACTGGAAGGGAGGGGGGAAGAATGTGCTTGGAGACTGGTTAGCCATAACAATATCTCAGTAGAGTATTCTTCAAGGTTAGTTGTAATAAGAGGAGATAACAGGAGGGAAAATTCACACTTCAAACTAATTGGAGAATGTGATTAATGACTGTTAAATGAAGGAGTGAGTTATGCTTTGTTACTGTGAGTCTGGGGGAGGAGAATTCAGATTTTGGCTTCTCTATGTACCTGCCGAAGCTATGTTGCAAATTAAAGATTCTTTAAGGTAAACAATGCCTAAAGTTCTTTGAAGAGCTTCTTCTTTCGGAACCATGACACCCTTCTTGTTTAAAGGTCAAGTTCCGTTCCAATGACCAAGTCATTAAATGAAATGATTGCTAAGTGAACAAGTGACTGACATGCTGTGAAGATCACTGTTTGCTTCCATTTCATTTGGATAAAGTTCTCGTACAGCTACACCAACATTACTTTCACTCCAGTGTGTGTTGTTGTTAGGCACACAGAATTCGGTTATAAAAGCACACATTGGTTGGAAAATGATTTTTTTCAAAAACATTTATTACTGCAATATTTACAAATGGTCACTAATTGAGGTAGTCCCTAAATGGGTGTGTATATGTGTTCATTCATTCATTCATTCATTTATTCATTGTTTTGGAAGCTGCTAATTCAAAATTTGTGGATGATGTTGAGGAAGAGGAGGATACAAAATACATTATATTCCTTGCCTTTATTAGAACAAAATTGAAACACATGTACATTAAGAAAAAAAAGTTATATAAAAGGCATTCCATATAGTTGTTCAGATGGATAATTTAAAAAATTAGAAATATGTGGAAATGAAGAAAATTAAATATAAGGCTGACCTTCTTTTTGCAGAAAAAGCATGTGTTTGATTTCTGCCTATCATCCCAAGAATTTCCCAGCACCAGCTATATAGGGCAAGTCAAGGAATTATGGTCTTGATCCTAAGCCAGATGAAAACCTCATGTCAGCTGTAACCAAAATATTTTTCACCTTCTGAAATATTCTGTCACTTGTTTTTTTTTACTATGCAACACTCTATGATGCATTTGTCGCAAAAGTGGGTGAAAAGATTTGCCCATCATTATTGAAAATTGCTGAAATCCAAAATTTTTCCTTTTGTATTCTTGGTAGGTAATAGATCAATGGTGCAAAAGCAATGATAAAGAATCCTTCCTTATGGCTCGTAGATTAATTAGAGAGGAGGGCTTGCTTTGTGGTGAGTATTGCATAGTGATAAATATATAAAAAAATAATTTAGCTCCTAAGCTAAAAAGTAAATCAAATTTTAAAAATATAAGGACCACATAGTTCTTATATTGATGGAATAATTATGTAGGTATTAATTGTTTATTCCCTGGGGCAGGGGAGAGTGGGACACAACTCATAGCAGACAATTGTGGAGATGTCCAGGCCCAGGACCATGTAGGATTTTATAGGTGACAACCCAAATTTTGGACTTCATCTGGAAGCTAACTGGCAGGCAATGCAACCCCCATAATAATGAAGATGTGTGTGAACAAAATCAATGTGTCCATAACTTCTGCAAGTTGTACCAGTGAAAATTTCTGAATAATTACTGTCAGCCCATGTTGAATGATTTGCAAAAATCCAGCCATGAGGCGACAAAGGCATGAGCGACATGACAAAGCCTACTTTTTAGAAATGGATGCCATACAAGATGCAGTTGTGCAAAGTTCCTCTTAAAACCTCGAATTGTTACTTCACTTTATAGAGTAGGCTTATATATTGAATGTTTTGCATCTCAGGAGTCTGTCCTTTATCTGTATACCATAGAGAAAAATAATTTAGACATTACATTAAAAAGGAATGAATACTGACAAGGCTAACTCCTTAACTGAGCCGTGGTGACACAATGGTTAGAATGCAGTATTGCAGGCTAACTCTGCTCACTGCCAGCAGTTTGATCCTGAGCAGCTCAAGGTTGACTCAGTCTTCCATCCTTCCGAGGTGGGTAAAATGAAGACCCAGATTGTTTGGGGAAATATGCTGAATCTGTAAACTGCTTAGAGAGGACTGTAAAGCACAATGAAGTAGTATGTAAGTCTACATGCTATTGCTATTAGCTTATAGTAATGCCCATCATTTTTACAAACTTTTGATTAAAATATGTACTAGATATGAAAACTGTTTATTATTTTCTTAATCAGGGAAGTTTTTAAATGGACTCACATCCAAACCAGAACTGAGTCCCACAATATTAGGATTCAAACAATTCTGCTTATTCTAGCCTAGGAAAGAGATTCAGCATCCACAAATCTCCATTGCTGGATTCTTAGATCAATATAACAATATCATGTCAGAATAGAAAAAGTCCTTACTCAATGCAGTACCACCCATCATGCTCGTTTGCTGTTAAAACATGGTTAAACAGGCAAGGCTACATTTGTGGAATTCAGTTTACTGATGTAAAATCAAGATTGCTTTGACAAGGTTCTAAATACTGCAGGTATAACAATGAGTAAGTGTCAATATTTTAAAAAATGGAAATTTTAAAAGGCCCAGGTTCACATTCCTTTATTCTCTTTATGTTCAGTGTTTTGCTATTACTTTTCCTTGTTTTCTTTTCCTTGTTGAGTAATGTGTGTATCCTCTGGCTTCTATAATAGGAGGCAGTGCAGGCAGTGCAATGTCTGCAGCTGTGAAAGCTGCCAAGCAACTAAAAGAAGGTCAGCGTTGTGTTGTCCTCTTACCTGACTCTGTGAGGAACTACATGTAAGAGAATGGCTTTTCATTGCTTTATAACACATTCATTTCTATGTGAAAGGGATTGCCCACATTAACTAAACTGCCTGCCAAAAGAATGCCTAAAGATCCTTCCCTTGCTGAATTCCGCCCTCTTTTTGAAACCTCTGAGAAAAGAGATTGGATCCTTTCCTTCCTTTCTTCAAATTGCCCCATGACTCTCTATGCATGGAGAAAGGGATTGCCCCTCTCTCTTTGTACAGAGAGGCATGAAGGGATCCAATTGCACTACGCAGGATGTGGATTTTCTGGGGGAGGAATAGACCTCTGCTTGGCCTTAAGGAGAGGATTCCTTTTAATTTCAAGGAGACCTTAGAGAAAGGTGTGATATTAGCAGTTATTTCTGATTCTAAAATATGAAAAAAGCCACTGATACCAAGGATTCTATGTCATCAAGAGGTTATGGATAGATTGGATTTGTTGGTAGATCTCTAGGATTTGCAGTAAAGTTTTCTAATTCCTAATAGTATTACTAATAGCAAATGTACCGAAAATTTTGCATTAAAATATCTGATTTATAGTATTTCAGAGGTTGGTTTGTAACTGTAACAATGATGTCTCAGTAAAGGCGGTATTTGACTTCATTCTCCCTCTTTTCTTGACAAATACTGTTTGTAGCTGAGTCATATTAAACAAAACCAACCCAAAACACTCACTGATGACTCACACCTTATGAACAGAACAGAATAGAATAGAATAGAATAGAATAACTTTATTGTCACTTTGAATGTACACTAATCAGCATACATTAAAATGAAATTTTGTTTCATACAGTTCTCAAAGGGTCACCACCTCCAATATACACTATATAAATATGACAAAAATAAAAAATAAATACAGAACTATGCATATACCCACATATATTATATGACACAGAGAAACAACCCAGGCTAGTTCAGATTATGTACACATGTGCATGGAAAGAAAAATGAACCTTGCAAATTTACTAGACGGATGGCATTGGGAACAAAGCTAGAAATACTTTGAAACTTCCTCCCAGAGGGGAGCAACAGATCGTAAAGTGAATGTGTGGGGTCTCTAACAATGCTTTGAGCTCTAAGCACATAGCACTTATAAGCAGCATTCCGAATACGAGGAAGTGAGCTTCCTATGATTTTCCCAGCTGTCCTTACCACCTTCTGTATGGACTTTCTATCTGAGGCACTGCTGCCACCAAACCAGACAGTGATGCAGTTTGTTAAAATGCTCTCAATCGTGCTTCTGTAAAAAGTGGCCAGGAATGATGTGTGGAGAGACCAATTCAGATTGTTAGTGATTGTTAGTTATCTGCACCCCCAGATACTATTGACTACCTCTACAGCTCCATCCTTGATACTGAGTGGAGTATGACTATGCCGGCTCTTTCTAAAATCTACAATGTTGTTTTATCAACATTCAGAACCAGGTTACTTTTATTGCACCTTCACCTCTTCCCTATAAGTATCTTCATTGTCATCCCAGATAAGACCCACCACTACTGTGTCATCTGCATACTTCACAATATGATTCATAGCAGATTTGGCACAGCAGTCATGGGCCGTCACAACACCCTCACTTGACACACCCACACCTGAAGCCTTATAAACAGAACACTGACATTGACATCCCCTAAACTCTGCTGACGATGTTACCTAGCCTGTAATGAAATGTTCGGAAACCAACCCACAAGCTCGGAGAACGAATCTTCACCCCCAAAACACTGTGTTATTGGCTAAAGCCACCCAGAGTTATTTTGAAGATGGATAGCTATGTAAGTATTTTAAATAAATAAATAAAACAGAAAAATAGTGTTTGTTCAAGTCAAATGCATTAAATCCAGAAGTGCTCTCTTACTAGGAGAAAAAATAAAATAATACATAAAGCAAGTAACTCTCTCCTGCCTTTGCATCACATCCCCAATTAGCTGACTGTTTATTTAGTAAATGTATTTATTTATAAAATTTATTGGCTGCCCATCTTACCACAGGTTAACCCTGGGCAGCTTATAATATCAAAGTTAAAGTTGCCTAACAATAAGGCCAGCTTTTATTTTATACATGTTTTCAACTTTACCACCAACTTCTTAATAAATCATTCCACAGTTGCCTCCAAAAATGCATTCTACCTTGTTCCCTCCCACCCCAACAATAGCTAATTTACTGGTTGGAACCTAATTTTAAAGAGTATTGTAGTTTAAAGATTTTAAATGAAGTTATATAAATTGGTTCAGTAATAGATGCAGAGTATCAGCAAGGAAGCATCAAAACAGCCAAGATGACAAATATGATGTTAAATGTAAGCTGGGCTCCCTTTGTAGCAGTGTTGACATCATACATGTGTACAAAAGGAGCAGGGCTTAGATTGTGATGCCAGGTTCTTGTTTTGATCCCCTGAATTAGGACACCTCTAGGCTTAACACAGCACCTTCATTCTTTTTTTATTGTTTCCAGGTCTAAGTTTTTGAATGACAAATGGATGGCCCAGAATGGATTTCTAAAAGATGTTCAGGAACATTATCCTTGGTAAGTTCAATGCACTTGTCCTGTTTTCCCAGCACCATCACCCAATACAGGGCTATATCAAATGATTTTTATTCTCAGCACAGTGGAAATCCAATTGACCTTCCCAGTCCTTCAGTGCTCATTCTGTTCCAATGAGGAGATGGCCTCTACCAACAGAATGACTTAATTAAATATAATCCTTAGAAAAAAATAAACTGAAAAGGAAGAAATCAAATAGTGAATCATAAAGATGTATTATTTGACTGTCTTTTATAATGCAGTATAATGGATTAAGTAATAGAGAGGAGATTTCAACTGAATGTTATATTTTAAAAAATCCCCTTCTGTATTGAAACCAATTACACAGAGAGGTGCTAAGCATTGGGATGTGTTTAAGGAGAAGCTAGAGACAGCAGCCTGTCAAATATACTTTAATGTATATTTTTGCACAGAGCAGAAGATTAGATTTGATAGCTTAAATGTCCCCTTCCAAATTTCTTTTCTATTTAAATGATTTCCATTCTTAGAAGCAATACAGATACGAAATTTCTTTTCGTATCTGTATTGCTTCTAAGAATGAAAATCATTTAAATACAGTTAATTTATGAGGACCTCTTCTAGTTTGGGCAATTTTTATGAAATCTGCTGCCATTATTTAGGAGGAGTGGCATCCAGGCTACACTGATAGTTGTGATTTTTTCCTATTTGCATTGCGATTCCTGTTTTTTGTGTGTGACTTGCCTTGTATACTTGTAGTAAACTATGTGGGTTTATAGGTGTGTTTGTGTGTTTTAATTAACTATAGTTACAATGATGAATGTTTTATATTACTTCTTATAAAGAGGCACACTTTGAAAAGAAAAACAGGAGTTATCTTTACAGGAAATGGTATGCTAGCTAAGAACAAATATTTTATCTTATTTCTAAATTAATTAAACAAATCCCTTACAACTATCTCAGTCTTCTTTCTTTAAGCTGTGTACATAGAACGATATTCAGGGCAGATCAGAACAGATTCTGACTGCAGAGGAGTAACAATATATGCTACTCTTTTTTGTCTGATAGGTGGTGGAATATTAAAGTCCAGAAGATGAATCTTTCTGCTCCTCTGATTCTTCTCTCCGATGTGAGCTGTCAAAAAGCAGTCGAAATCCTACAAGAAAAGTCATGCAGTCAAGCACCGGTCGTGGCAGAATCAGGGTAACTTTCTTTTTAGCACGGGCCTGGAGTGCAACTGCTGTTGGGAGGGGTGGTCCTTTGTTTTGCCAAGGATCCATTTTAAAACTTATTTTAGAACTTTATGGAGCAAAATAACTATTACATCTTGAAGAAGATCAATGTAATCGTTTAACAACTTCTGGGGAAGCAAACGTTTTTTAAAAAGTACCCCCAACTGCTAATAGCACAATGTTTGGGGGCAGTGGGCTACCAACGGGCGCTATGAGTTATCCATTTCTGCTTTGTTTCAGCAGTTACTTCCCTTTGAGATAATATTTCATAATATTTTATGACCTAAAGCAGTAAAGGATTGTCCATTATTCCCTTAATTAAGAGGAACCTTAAACAGATGCTAGACTCAATATGGACTCAGTCCCTGCACATGGAGGATTTGGTAGGATTCCATTTTGTCTCTTTCCATGTCTGAATGAAAAAAAAATGTTTGTTTTCTTGAAAGCGTCATCTTGGGAATTGTAAGTATTACCAACATCCTCTCCTCGATCCTGGCAGGAGATGCACAGTTCTTAGACCCAGTCATAAAAGTCACTTATCAACAATTTTCAAAGGTATTTATCTTTACTTTGTTGAAAAATTCATAATGCATCATCCATAAAATGAACAGAATAAAAAAGAGGCAGAAATTATGGATATATTTTGAGAGCCAAAGAGGTTACGTGAGAGAAAGGGCTTTACCATAAGTAATATGATATACCACTAAGTTGTAAAAAAAAATGGATTCAGTTTGTGGCCTTCATCTTGTGCTTATGGGGCCTTGCTTACCAAATATGTTAACCTCAGGATTTGTTGAGTTCTACCTTTTCACACGCTCAAGTCACACCTCTGGTTATATACTGCAGCAGATTACCTGAGCTCACCATTTTTAAAATAGGCGATGATGCAGGTTTTTGTTCCTGTAGCTGTTAAATCCTGTCAGTTTACAGAAAAAAAGGTTTTGGTGTTCAAGTATTATGTAACTTAAGAGTGAACCAAAGGATTACAAAACATTGCTGTAAATTGCAAGGGAGACAAGGCCAAGGGGAAGGGAAGATTACTTTCTGGACGTGAAAAAAGACTTTCACACATCTTATTCCTTTACTTGATGGATTTTTAAGATGGTTCATAGTGACATGGAAGTATTATAAATACAGAGTACCGTACACACAGTTTTAAAAATGCTTTTATTAACTGAATACAAAAAAGAACAAATAGAAAAACACATAAGGTATGAAGAAACAAACAAAACTCTAAAATATAAGCTTGAGTAAGCATGTGCAAATATAGTTGAAGTACATGTGTTTAGGGATACAGAGGACACACATGAGCATGTAGGATGTGAATTAGATTTCAAGACAGGATCTTTCCTTGATTTTGAGAATTTCATCACTAGAACTTTATATAAATTGGGTTCTTTGTGCTATTTGCACCATTTTCCTCCTTTCTCAGGAAAGTAGGGAAACAATAGGCGTTGCTGCTGCTGCAAAATGACTCTGAATAAGCACAAATTGCCCATGTAGGATTTAGTTTATAGGACAAAACGTGGGAGGAATTTCAAATGATGAACTTGATCTTGGGCTCCTAGTAACCATTTGATTCACTTGATTATTTGGGATACACAGATTAATCTGGATGACACCCTGGGAAAGCTTTCACATGTCCTGGAAAATGAACAATTTGCTGTTATAGTGCATGAAGTGGAGCAATGTAAGTACCAAGGAAGGGAGTTTATATGGCATTGAAGATTTTCAGTCAGTATTCTGCTTTCATTCTCACATCACCATCACTTCAGCAAGAACATGCCCCAATAACCATTTTTATATGGTATGTCTTTACAGTGTTGATCTTGTCTCATCTCCAGGCCATATCTAAAGCACCTTAAGACTGCCTTTAGCTCTTTCATGTTTGAATTATCATTTTCTTTCTCCTCTTGGCACAGTTTGGGCTAAGGATACGATGTAGCAAGCTTCACTGCTGGTGTGGTGAACAATATAGTCAAGTACGGGATCTTCTTGGTATTGACTGGCCATTTTATGCTACCGTACCCAGATTCTAGAACTATCCTTCACGGTTACTTTGGCTTGGATTGCAAGAAAGAAACCAGACTCCTGACTTTCCTTAGAGCCTCTGCCTATTGACCAGGGCTTTCTGAAGTCCCTGTCTTGTGGACCTCTTTAGGTTTAAACATAGGTTTAATGTTTTTTGTGGGGGGGGGGGAAGTGGGAGTCATCTGAATTTCCACAGCCCAGATAGATAGCCCTATAATAATCACTGTAATAGTCACCTTAACAGTAAAGTCTGTCCCTAATAGCCAGTGACTTGGAGATGAGGGAAGAAATTGAGCCTTCCATTCAAAACCTTTTGTGTTTTTTGGTGCACAAAAAGGTATGATAAGCTCTAGGGTTCTCCCTTCCCCCGCCCCTATCTGGCAGGAAAGGGTGAGGTCTGAGAGACTATGTGGTATCAATGAGACATGTTCATCTGCATGTTTTAAGTCAGAAGTTAATATACCATTGGGTGCTTTCTTTCATTCTTATTTGGAAATACATTCCTCTTTCTTTTCCAGACAATGCAAAGGGGTCCTCCTTGATGAAACAGATGGTATTTGGTGTGGCCACAGCTGTTGATCTGCTCAGCTTTATCACACCAAAGAACAAACCTCAAGATCTAAATGCATCATTCACATCTGTTTATGAAAGAACTTTTCCTGAATCAGGAAAAAATAACTGAAGATGTTTAACTTAACGGTTTACAATATGGCAGGGCCATCTGCAGTGGAAAAAATGATGGCTGTGATAGGCTGTGATAAGGTGACACACATAAACTCCAAGAGGAGTTTCAATCGCCCCAATATGATTGCCATCTTGATTTCTTTACTGTATCCTGCTGAAACCCTTGCAATTTGGGAAGCTTTTTATATTAATGTGTCTAGTAGTTCTTGGTTTACTTGATGTCATTCTGAATAACAATTCTGGCAATAATCTGAGATTAAGATGATCTGAGAATAATTTTTAACAAGCTGGTATTCCCAGACAATTTCAAAATAAGGTTCTTGGAGCTAACAGTTTGCTAAATGAATCCCCCAAGGAGGTCTTGTTGTTGTGATTTCTTTTGACATTTTCATTTGTATGTTAACTTTGATTGATAAATGCATTTCAAAATCTGCTGGCAGAAGAATAAAGTGAAAGTAACTGAATGACATCCAGAACATTGACAAAGAAGGGGGCCTGAAGTGAATGATTCTGATGGGCAGTAAGGTGAAGATGTGTCAGATTTTTTTGCTCCAGAGGAAAAAAAAAATCTTACCCATGTGGGGTGACTATAGGTTGTATCTGTTAATACTGATAAATGCAAATTTAATCTCCCACATTTTTCAGTAAGAAAGGTTTCTAGATTGGGAAAATTATATACATTTCCTCTTGATTTCAGTAGACTGGCAGCAATGCAACTGAGGATCGGATTTGAGGAAATTTGAGAGCCTTTTTACAGAATCAGAATATAAACACTTTTGGCATTAACTTCTCTATTTAAATTCTCATTTTAATCACGGAAACAAATCATTGCATGCAGAATACAGGTAGTCCTTGATTTATGACCACAATTGAGCCCAAATTTTCTGTTGCTAAGCAAATCAGTTGTCAAGTGATTTTTTTCTCCCCATTTTATTATCCTCCCTACCACTGTTATTAGGTGAATTACTACAATTTTAAATTAATAACATGGTTGCTAAGTGAATCTGGTTTCCCCATTGACTTTGCTTGTCAGAAGATCGCAATAGCTGATTATATGATCCCAGGACCCTGCAACCATCATAAATACATTCCTGTGCCAAGCATCTGAATTTTGATCACATGACATGGGGGGGGGAATGCTGCAATGGTTGTGTGAAAAATGGTCATAAGGTACAGTTTTCTTTCTTTTTTTTAATAAAGTTTTTATTGAGTACAAAGAAAAAAAAGGATTAAAAACATTGAACATGGTAAATCGTCTTTGACTGACATCTCAGTCCATATTATACATTAATTACATATAATATATCTATATACAACTATACATTTCTGGTCTCTATCTCAACTTATCTCTTTACTGTGACCTCCACTTTTTTTCCCTCCATCTATAAAATTTATTCCATATTCGATAAAATTCTGTTTCTTCCTGATTTTTTAATCTTTTAGTTATCCTATCTAGTTCTGCGCCAATACATAATTTTCTTTATTAGTGCTTCCCCACTTGATACTTCCATTGCTTTCCACTTTTGAGCAAATAATATCCTTGCCGCTGTAACCACATGGATAGTTAAATATGTGTCCTCTTTATTTACATTTTTCTCTAGTATTATAAGGTACATTTTTCAATGCTATTGTAACAGTCTTCGAACGGTCACTAAACAAGTGGTTGTTAGGACTAGCTGCAATGCATTCCTATTTAACCCTACATAATTTTATGAAAAGAGGACAAATGGTGTAAAAAAGTGAGCCTTGCCTGAAATAACATAGAAGACAGGTGGAAAAGATATTAGCATTAATCATAAATAACTTGATAATCAATTGTACATTCAGTGAAGTGTCTCCAAATTGATTTCTATTTTTACAGTTGTATTTTTCCTGTTGACTGGTTAGTTAAAATTACATTCCTGTATAAAGTGGGATGGGGGTGAGGGTGGGGTGATCTAGATTTAGATATACAGTGAATATTGCAAAAATGTCTATAATTTTATTTTATTTTTTCAAAAAAGGCAACTTGTTAAAGACATATTGGCTCCAGTTCTGGGGGAATTGTTTAAATTTACCTCACAGGACTAGTAATTTGATTAATTTTCACTAGTTGTGGCCAGATAATATACTTGATTCCTTGATTATATTAATTGTCTTAGAACAGTTTTTCTCAACTGGCGTTTCACAGACCCCCTCCGTTTGTGAAAGATCATGACACAAGTTTTTTTAATGTTGCATTCTGTGCGAGGCTAGCTCTCAATAACATGTTTCTTATTCCCTGGATTTTAATGTAATACTGCAGAAGCTATTAAACATAGAGAAATTGACAGAGAGGATTTGCAACTGAATAAAGGAAACATATTAAAACAAGGGGAAAGCATATTCTTTATGGTGAGATATAACAAAAAGCTAAGATCTGGGGTTTGGGAACAGTGCTTGCTGTTATTGTTGTGTGTAATCATTAAACTGCCCAACAAAGAAGCAGACAAAAGAAAAACTGCAACATACGCATAGTGCAGATTTAAAAAGGATAGAATTTGCACTGCAATGTAGTGATGTGTTTTTCATCATTCTTCCCACCTGTGAGGGGGTGGGAAGAATGGGGTGAGGACGAGTACCCAATAAAATAGATAAATCTGCTCAAAATTAATATTGACATTCTAAGTTATATTCATTTTTATCATATTTATTTCTCCCCTAATCTCATAGTAAGCATTATCAATCTATTTATATAAAAGCCAAATGATATCAGATTAAATATTTACATCAAAGCTCTTTATTTTTCTAGGAGTATTTATCCCACTATATTTAAATCAATTAATAAATAAAGAACCCCTCTCCACTCATTTTTCACAAAAAGGAAAAGTTACTGTTCATTTTCAGTGTACTTTCTTATTACAGACTAGAAATGTAATTTGAAAATGGATTGCGTTTCAACCTGGGTTGAGTTAGAGCAGAACAATTGACAATTCTAACCTGAAATAAAGACAATTCAAGGTGCTAAACTATCTTTTCCTGACAGCTATCTGAATTCAGCCTATTTAGTAAATTTAATTAATCTTTCCTATAACGTAACATATTATATAATATATTCATTTCATAATGAGTACTTTCCCCCTTCAGAACAAAATATGAATGGCTCATTTTAATACTACAGAAGTTCTTTAAGAATTGAGAACTCCACAGAATTATTTATATTTTAATCACTTAAGAATTATCTGCACATTACAAAAAGTCTCCTAAAGTAATATTATGTGCCTATTTCTGCTTCAGCCAAAGCCTGAATAATAAATGGACTGCTTGGAAAATCTTAGGAAACTTTCACACTAATGTTTTGTTTCACTTCAAAATGATTCTAACCTGTCATCTATTTCTGAGAGCTGAATTGATTTATATCTAGTCACACTAAGCAAAATTACTATTGTCCTATGAATCAGAGCTAATCTCCAAAACATTTTTGGACAGTACACTTACTTATTAGCAGGAATAATTGCTTCAAGCTAGGCTTCATTTTCGCGCCTCCCTTTTTGTATAATTGTTTATGTGATCTTCTTTGTTGATTGTTTGTCTGTGTCAGTCTTGATTCAACTGGTGCAAAGTGCAGCAGTGAGAGCAATCTTTGGGGCCCTTAGGATGGCCTGTATTACACAAACTGCACCAGCTACCAGTCCCCTTCTGAGTGCAGTTCAAGTTGTTGGTTATGACCTAGAAGCCATTAATGGCATGGGTCCAGGCTACCTGATGAACCGTCTCGTCTCCTTGGGACAAACACATCCTATTTGTGCCAACAGAGAGGGCCTACTTTGGATCCCATCAATCAAAGAACTCCGAAGAAGAATCTTCTCTACCAGAGTACCCATCCTTTAAAATATCTTACCTTCTAGGGTAAGATCTTCCCCTATCCTCCTATCCTTCCATAAGAGCCTAACGACATGGCTCTGCCAGTTGACCTGGGGACCCAAAGGGGAGTTTCATGCTGGAGGTGGCTGTTGGATTTATGGAAGACTCCACTCCATTGCTCTCTGCTCTCCATCTTTTGTTATCACATTGATGTATTCCTGTTCTCTTTTTCATTATTTATTTCATTGTTTTATTATTTTACTTCTGTTTTGATTACACTTCTTTTCTTTTCTTGATTTTTAATACTGTAAGCTGCCTAGAGTAGCCCCACTGCAAGATAGGCAGCAAATAAATTGAACAAATAAGCATAATACTAATGCACATCTGCCTATCCCAGATCCTCGGGAAGGACTCAATAGGTGAACAAAAATGTGACAAACCATATTAGGCAAATCATTTCCATCTTTTCTGAGAGAAAAGAATGGCTCGGCAAAATTCATTTTCTGGTGCCCAAAATAAATTTTAAGGTTGCTTGCATGAAATCCCTACATCATACTAAATAGAAACTGAGCAAGGTATTATTAGGTTTATATTTTTTTACTATTCTAAAAGAGGAAAAAATACACCGTAGACACTTGTTGACTTTCCATTTTAGTCAATAGAGGGCTGTTTGAAATTTCAGAAAACTGGAGCAAGGTTCCATCTTGGTTTCAAAACAAAGCAGGTTGTGTCAAAAACAATCCAAAGTACTGTTTCTAAAACATTTCTTTTGCAAATTTACATTCTTATCTTACATTGCCTGTAACATGGGAGTCATTGTTGAATGTTTCTTGAAGAAACTGCAAGAACAAGAAACCTCTACTTCCCCTTGGCCAGCTCCAATAAACGTGAATAAATATGTATGCATACCACTACTCATAGCAAAATGTTCTGCTATACCTAAGAACAATCAGGATTGTTGTTAATTCAAAGTTAATACTGAAGCTTGCTAATGAAATTTGAGAATATTTGGCACGGAGAGAGGGAAGAAATTATCAGCACAATTGCTGAAAGCAATTTCAGTAATTTCAATTATTTTCCAATGTGCGCACACAAAACTCAGTGACATCATTTACAGATTGCTCCATACAATGGCAATGATAGTATGATAACAGGTTTAACTTAAAAAGACTTTTTACAGACTGCTGTTTTTATGCAAACAAACATAATAAGTTATATAGCTTGTTCATTGTGCGCTATATGGATTGTTGTTCCTAGTTCAAAATTTAACTGCATGCCCTTCTAAAGTGTTTTTTAATATAAATGTTTAATACAAAAAATAATTATATTAAAATATAAATATAAATTTTAATATAAATTATATCCTATAATAAACAACAGAGTCTTCAAAATTAGTGTTTTCTGATTCTGATAAATTTATGTTTTCAACAGTTTTATTAAGAATTACAGTAAACAGATAAAATTAATAGAAGAACCTAATACAAAAATACATGAAAAAAATAAAAAGTGAGGAAAAACTCCCCTCAAAAGAAATAGTAAGAAAAAGAAATTTCCGTTTTCATCCACAGCAAACACATTCAACATTAATAATTTAGCAGTATCTCTTAAAATAAAATAAAATACATCTCCATTCTACACCTCACCCCATTTTCTCTAAACTCATCTGTAAATCTTCAGGTCTCCTTATTAAGGTTCAGTAAAAATTAATAGAAATACCTAACATAAATATATAATTCTCTTTTTCATTTTGTTTAATTCCTCCTCATCCCTCTCTTAACAATTAAAAATTGCAGAAAAAATTAAAAACTATTAAACATTACTAAAATAAATAATCCTTTATTTAGATATCAAAAATAACATAAATGATGTAAACTAATCCATTACACCACTGAACTCTTCCAAAAGAAAAACTATTCAATCAAGATAACCACTAAGCACCATCAAAGATAGCAACTCATTATTTAAATAATGAAATAAATTATTATTTGTTTTTTCCCTTCTTCCTCTTGACTACCCTTAAGTCCCAGAGATAAAATTCATGTCCTCTTTTGTTCTATTTTTCCATCTTCTCTCGAAATTCTTATCATCTTTATCCAAATCCATTTGTAATTTCTAGGAAACAACCCTAGGAGATGGCTTATATTTCAGTTAAAAGCATAGTCCACATAAGTCTTTAGATGCATTATTTGTATCTCCTTTTTAATTTTTAAATAATCATCCAATTACATTTGTAAA